GATCCCAAGAGAACATTCCTTAATAACCATCTAGCATGCTAAATTCCATTTCAGTTTCTGTTACCTAGAATCTGGGTATATTTGCAAGTCTTTTATTAATCACTGCCAAACTTGCCTTGATTAAGAATGTGTGTGTGTGTGTGTGTGTGTGTGTGTGTGTATAGTGCTTAAAAATATTTATTTCCTATGACAAGCTGTACATGTTAAGAAAATTCTTCAAGAGTAATTTACTATTATAATTATTAGTAGTATCAGTTGAGCCTAACAACATCATTACAAACTTTTATAAATAATACATACCTAAGCATAAAATTTTACTTGAAATACAACTTTTAGTGCTATGGGATGTTAAAACATTAGGTCACGGATCTACGGATGAATAAATTACTTCCAGAATGAGTCAGGACTCACTCTGTTTTATTTACATTTCTTGTTTTTAGACAAGTTCTGAGAAACCTCAGGATGGGGATGATAAAAAATGGAATTTCCCTATATTATTTAAACTCTTTCCAAGTTACAGCTCCTAAATCTCACACTGATCTTTTATCCAAGTTAATTCTAATGATACCAGCTGGAAACTCAATTAGGCTCATCTTTAATTTTGTTCAACTATAAACCATTTGACTTGCCAAATCTTTGTTACCCAGCTATTAGAATCTTTCACTATTGTCTCTTTGTTTGGAGCCCCAGAGATTTTTTTTACTACTCAGAGATATTCTTCATCTTGTTTTAGGATGAATGAGTGATGTCTCTCATTCATAAAATAAGAGAAAAATAACTGTAAATAGGGAGGTGGAGACAGAGTACTAGCGGGACCTCACCACGGGCTAGTTCTCAATTCCATGAAAGAGTCCACTGAGAAATTGATGATGCAACTGATTTATTTAAAACGATCCTATGTCTGCCTTTGGAAAGTCTTCACATACCCTAGAGTTTGAAGTCCCTATCCTACACGATTTCTGATATCCTATCATTTTATTTTGGTTATTATTTTCCTCTTTAACTACATCTCATAACATGTGCACAACAAATTTATAACATATTGACATAAGGTTGTTTCCAAGCTGATTTTAGGATTCATTCCACAAACTAGTTGAGGGCATATCATTCTAGGAATTAGGGATACAGCAAATCCCTGTCCTTGAAGAAACTTACATTCATGTGGAAAGCAGAGAGATAAGATAATAAACAATAAAATTAATAACTAAGTAAATTGTATATTATATTAAAAGGTGATGAGTTCTGTAGAAAAATTCAAAAAAAAGGTTTAACTACAGTAGGCAAACAGGGAATTTGTACTGTACTCAGTTGGGTGCAATTTTCAAAAAAGGGAGAAAGTCTATTGAGAAGGTGACATCTGAATCTTTGCTTCAGTAAAAGGATTAGTTTTAGCTATTACTTTTCCTCCTAAGACCAATGCAATATTAATGCACTGTTGATGATAGCACTGTATGTCTGATTTATAACTGTTAGTCTTCTCTGGAGCTCACTCTTATACTACTGTGAATACAAAGCCATTAACCAATTTGGTTTCAGTGAATTTTGTTTTAGTGTAAATGTTCTACTTGAAATTTATTCATATTTAATATCACCAACTTTGAGAAGACTACTTCTTTAAATGTCTGTAAATTGTGGCTATCTTTTAGTAAATCTGCACTCCTCACAAAGCAAATTATGATGGAGAAGGGATTGGAGAAGATATTAGTTTGAAAATGACAGTAAACTTTGAAAACGAAAACAAGCGTGGACAGATAGGCCCTCTCGGCACTTTGCAAATGCAAGTTGTCACTGCTAGTTAGAAAAAAATATTTATTTTCAGACAATGACCTTCTTGTAAAATTTACACTGTACCATTGTTCTATAACTGGGAACAAATACAATCTTGCACTGTTAGCCTACAATTTTCCATTTCTTTTAAGCTTCCATCTTCCTGCTCTTGTTAATAGAGACAGAATTGGGACGTGAGACCAGTGGTTCTCAAACCATGGATCTTGAACTAGCAGAATCAACAATATCTAGCAACTTGCTGGAAACAAACTCTCAGGCTTCACCCAAGACCTACTAAAACTCAGGTGATGGGAATCATAATCTGTGTTTTAAATGATTGTTTATAATTTCCTTTGCTGTGCAAAAGCTTTTAAGTTTCATTAGGTCTCATTTGTTTATTTTTTTATTTTTTTCATTTGTTTATTTTTGTCTTTATATCCATTTCTCTAGGATATGGGTGAAAAAGGATCTTGCTGTGATTTATGTCATAGAGTGTTCTGCCTATGTTAGGTGCAAGAGGGAGGGGATATGGGGATATATGTATACATATAGCTGATTCACTTTATTATACAGCAGAAACTAACACAACCTTGTAAAGCAATTATACTTCAATAAAGATGTTTAAAAAAATAATGAATGAGGAAATTAATGAAGACCCAAAGTGTGAAAACATAAAGAGAACACTGGACAATATCACAATTAAAGAATCCTTTTCAGTAAAAAGCAACATAAATAACATGAACAAATATAGGTAAAAACTTAGGAGAAGCTGTTTGCAATATCTAAACCAATAAGAGATGAATAACTAAAATATTTAAGAAACCTCTGAAGTTAATAAGAAAAAGGCCAGAAACTCAACAGGAAAAGAAGACTATAATTAATCATTTCACAGAGCAAAAACACAGCATAGCTAATAAATATATTTGGAGATGTACAATCTTATTTGTAATAAAAAATGTGAATCAAAATAAATTAAAACAACAACAAAACAATTAGATGGGCAAAATTTAGAAAGTTACATAACTTCAGCCATTGATGAAAATGTGAGGAAAAAGGAACACTCATACAGTATTGGAGGGAGCAGTAAACTGCTACACTCTGGACAGTGTGAAATGAAGTATTCCCTACAAACCAGCAATCCCATACCTGGTTTAGTTTACACAGAGAGCCCATACGTGAGCATATTCACTCCAACACTGTTTGTGGTAATTTATGCCACTAAGAGAATGGATAAGTTACATGTGGTGTGCATGATAACATGGGATAACATGCAACAGTGAAAAGTAACAAACTACTCTGACATAAAGCAATAGATTAAAAAAAAAGTTGATTGAAAAACAGTAAGAGACCAAGTAAGACCTAAGGTATAATATTATTTGCGTACATTTAAAATACACCAATCACAAAATTAAGGCCATATTTTTGTAAGAATACATACACTTCTAAAAGTATAAATACATTAGAGTCAGTGGCAGGGTGTAGTGGAGTGGAGAAGAGGAATGAGATTGAAAATAGGGATGAGAGATGAAAGGAAAGAAATTAAATTAGGGATCTTACATGGACCCATGATGGTAATGTGCCTTACCTTGAGGAATAAGTCTAGGTGACCTCAGGACACCTGAGTTGTAAAATATACTATCTCTTCATTCCCAATTTTTATATACCTTATTTCTATGTCATGTCAATTATGAAATAATTATAGTGATTATAAGCATTCTATTTATGTGCAAATATTTAGGGAGAATTTTTCTAATACTGTTCCCTTAACTATGATGTTAACTACTCATTTGAAGTAAATTTCATACAACCAATAGAAAATATTCTATTCTAAGTTTGTGAGAGTTTTTAAATTATAAGATAATCAAATATTCAAAACATTAGAAAATAATAAAAATAGTGTGTTTTTTAACTTTACTTATTAAAAAACATGGCATTGCCAAATATTAAATCATCCTTATGTTCTTGCAATAAATTTTAACTAATTGGTGAAGATAGAACTTTAAATGTCAATTCAATTCTAAATGTAAATTTTTTACTTAGGATGTTTCTGATGACAGTCAAGCCCTTATCTCCCTATTGAGTGACACTTCAATAGGCCCAATTGTCTATTAGCAACTTCTTGGAATATATCCTAGGCACCTCAAACTCAGTATGTCCAAAACTGAAGCTACTTAATGTTAAATATTATGGTAGGAGACATAACATTTTAAAAGACATTAATAAATTATATTCAACTCTTTCAAATTTAACTTTCTTATAAAAAAACAAAGTACTATGCAAGAATCTGGGGATTTACTGTAAAATCTCAGTGATAGTTATACACACTGCTTTATTCTTTTTTTTTCGGTACACGGGCCTCTCACTGTTGTGGCCTCTCCTGTTGCAGAGCACAGGCTCCGGACACGCAGGCTCAGTGGCCATAGCTCGCAGGCCCAGCCGCTCCGCAGCATGTGGGATCTTCCCGGACTGGGGCACGAACCCGTGTCCCCTGCATCGGCAGGCAGACTCTCAACCACTGTGCCACAAGGGAAGCCCCGACAATGCTTTATTGAGTAAACCACGTAACATTTTCTAAAACGGACATTCGTACTCTTCAATTGAAAATGGCAACAATTTCAAATTCTCATTCAAGTTCTTTGAAAATTAATCCAAGTTATACAGTGGTAGTAAGATATGCAGTATTTTCATACAATGGAAATTACTTGGCAATAAAAAGGAAAAATCTACTGATAAATGCAAAACATGTGAATTTCACAGACCCTATGCTTAGTGAAAGAAAATAGACACAAATGATTACATGCTATCAATTCTATCTATATGAATTTCTAGTATACGCAAAACTAATCAAAGGTGGCAAAAAAAAAAATCAGAAGAATGATTGCCTTGAGAGTGTGTGGAGTTGATTGAGAAGGGGCTCAAAAGTACTTTCTGAAGTGATAGTAGTATTCTATATGTCGATGGGGTTTGCATTACACAGGTGTATGCATTTGTCAAAAGTCCATAAATGTACATTTTGGATTTCTCCATCTCATTGTAGTAAATTTTATCTTAAAAAACACTATGAACACAAAATAGTATGTATTCCTTTTTATTACTAAGAAATTCTATTTCTTAAATACTAAAAAAGGTGAATTTGGATTACATCAAAAACCTCCTTAATACCCCTTTAATTATTGCCTGTATGTATAAGGAAGTTCTATTTGTTATTTCTATTTTATTGCATGCATTTTTACCTCTGGCATTCCATGTGGAGAAAAGGCACTAAAAGGTGGAACAACATCTGAAACATTTTCATATCCTGGAGGAGGTGGTTCAAATAATGATGTGTTGAAAATCTAGAGAAACAAAATATAATAATCAGAGGCAAATCAGGTAAAGTTTCATTACTATAACCAAACAAGGAAATGTGTACTATCTCTTTCTGTCAGTAGATGGTTAATGAAGCCTTTGGTATTTTAAAGATACAGATCAAAGAGCCAGCACTGTGCTAGAGGCTATGAGGATTTCATGAGATGAATAAACTTAGAGAACCTTAGAGGATGTATAAGCACTAGCTTTTGATTTAGAAGGAAAACTTTAATTCCCAAATAAAAATAACAGCGTACAATATTCTTAGTCACTTATAAAAATGCTAAGATAATTACTTGGGAGCAAATTAAATGTTAAATTCACTTTGAACCAAATATAATATAATCTTTCAAGTGTATCATTGTCATTGTTAAGTAGGAATCAATTTTTTTTAGGTTCCAAACCACTACCTCTAAAAGAGAGTGCCAAGCTACAGGAAGAAGAAACTGACAGAATTCCAAAGGGAAAAAAAAATAATCCACCACTATAGTGAGATAATCTAACATTCCTTTCCCAGCAATTAATAAAGATTGCAGACAAAATAAGACTACGTCAAGGATAAAGGCGATTTTAGCCAAACAATTAACAAACTTGAACTAATGAACAAATATAAGATCATTAAACTCAACAACTCAATACATTTTTTCAAATAAACACAGAACATTTATAAAAATTGACCACATAATAGGCTATAAAGGAAGCCTCAACAATTGCCAAATGACTAGTGTCATACAAACCACATTATCTGATCACAATGTAGTTAAGTTAAAAAATCAGATCAAACCGATAGTGGAATAACTTTTAAATTTGGAATTTTAAAAATACCCCTAAATAGCTCCAAGGCTCAAAGATGAAAACATAGAAATTAGAAAATATTAAGATATTAATGATAACTAAAACACTTCTCCAAACTTGTGAGATCTAGTTCAAGTGGCTCTTAGAAGGAAATTTATGGTTTTAAATACTCATATTAGAAAAGAAGAAAGCTTGAACATCAATAAATTAAGTATTCAACTGAAAATGTTACAAAGAACAGCAAAATAGACACCAGGAAGCTAAAAGAGGAAATTATATTAAGTAAGAACAGAATTAATGAAACATAAAACATATATACAAGAAACGATTGCCAAAGCTGAAGGTTTATTCTTTGAAAATACAGGTAAAATTGACATATCTCTGTCAATGTCAATAAGAAAAAAATATAAGGTAAGCACAAATAAATAATATTAAGGGTTGAAAAAAAGTCATATCTATAGATGTCACACAGATTCAAAAAGGTAATAAGAAAATACTAGGAAGAACTATGCCAATAATTGAAAACTTAGATGAAATGGAAAAATGCATTTTAAAAAATTTATTAAAACTGACATAAGGATGCATTTTTTAAAATCTAAATAGTCCTATAACAATAAAAAAAATTGAATCAGTACTTTAAAATCTCCCACAAAAC